CTGGGCGACAGAGTGAGACCCTCTCTCTCTCAAATAAATAAATAAATAAATAAATAAAATAAAAGCCAGAATCCAGAACACTGAGAACACCAAATGCTGGCCAGGATGTGGAGCAGCAGGAACAACTCTCATTCATTGCTGGTGGAAATGCAAAAATGGTACAGCCACTTTGGAATAGAGTTTGGCAGTTTATCATAAAACTAAACATACTCTCAGCAATCATGTTCCTTGGTATTAATAAAGGAGTGGAAAACTTGTGTTCACATAAAAACCTGAAGACACATGTTTATAGCAGTTTTATTCATAATTGCCCAAACTTGGAAGCAACCAAGGTGTCTTTCAGTAGGTGAGTGGATAAACTGTGGTACATCCTGAAAATGAAATATTATTCAATGCAAAAAGAAATGAGCTACTGGCCGAGAGCGGTAGCTCACACCTGTAATCCCAGCACTTTTGGAGGCTGAGGCAGACAGATCACTTGAGCTCATGAGTTTGAGACCAGCCTGGCCAACATGGCAACACCTCGTCTCTACTAAAAATACCAAAATTAGCCGGGTATGATGGTGCGGGTCTGTAATCCCAGCTACTGGGGAGGCTGAGGCAGGAGAATCACTTGAACCCAGGAAGTGGAAGTTGCAGTAAGCCGAGATCACGCCACTGCATTTCTCCTGGGTAACAAGAGCAAGACTCCATCTCAAAAAAATAAATAAAATAAATAAAAATAAAAATATCCTTCAGTTAGTTCAAATGTTACCTCAGCCTCGCGAGCAGCTGGGATTACAGGCACCTGCCGCCATGCCAGCTAATTTTTGTATTTTTAGTAGAGATGGGGTTTCACCGCTGGCCTTGAAGTCCTGACCTCAGGTGATCCGCCCTCCTCGGCCTCCCAAAGTGTTGGGGTTACAGACCTGAACCACTGCTCCCGGCCTTGAATTAACTTTTCTTTCCATTGTGATTCAACAGCATTTTGTTATTTTTGTTACTGCTGTTGTTTTTGTTTCTTGTTATTTGTTACTTTTGTTACAGTATACTGCTGTCTTTTCTCTAAAAGGCTCGCCTGTAGTCCCGGCTACTTCGGGAGGCTGAGGCGAAAGGATGGCTGGAGTCCAGGAGGTTGAGCCTGGGCAACAGAGGGAGAACGTGCCTCAAAATAAATAAATAAATTGCAATACGATAATAGGATATTGGCTCTGGAATCGAGAATCTTAGTGCCAGCTCTGTTACTCAGTAGCTGTATAATATTGGGTAAGTGAATTTTCACACTTTGAAAACCAGCTTCCTCATCCGCAAAATGGAGCCAATAATAATCCCTAACTCCTGAGACTGTGAGCAGATTAAAGGAGATAATGTCTGAAAAGCACGTGACACAGTAGGTGCCTCTTTCGCTAGACCAAGGGTTCTTAACCTGGAGTTCATGGACCCTTAGGGGATACATGGATGAGTTTCAGGGGATCTAAGAATCTCCTTGGAAAGTAACATTTTGCATGTCAATATATGCATTCTGAGAAGGTCCATAGCTTTCATCAGCACCTTTAAGGGTTTGTGAATCAAAAAAGTTAGCCTGTGGTACCCTTGGGCAGAAAACACAAAAAAAGGTTAGGCAACTCGATTGTAGACCTTGAGGGATTAGAGCCAGCCTTTCAGGGTTTAATAGGTTCTTTCTTATGCATACATAGTTTCTAATGTTCACAATAGCACCTTGAAGGAGGTGTTAGCGCACCTATTTTTCAGATGCCGGAACTAAGAAACGAAGTAATCTGTAATAGATGGAGTTCCTAACCAGCGCAAATATTATTTAAGTCTTGTCTAGGCCACAACTGAGCTAGGCTCTGGGAACCGAATTCCAGTCAGAACTCAGCACCACAGAGGCCTCCCTCTTCCCTGGTTTGCATCCCCAGCTCACTCCGGGCCTCCGGAACGTTTCATAGATTTTTGCTGAGTGAAATCGGCTTGCCGCCGCCACCGCCGAAAAACTCCCGGGGCACAGAGCTCCGCCCCCACCGCGCCAGGCCCCACCCCCTCTGCGGTCGGTATTGTCCGATGGTTCCCGGCGTCCCTCGGCTTCCCTCGGTAGTTTCCGGCAATGGTCGAGAGTTTCTAACGTGCCCCTTGTCTCTCGGCCGCCGTCCTCCCAACCACCGCCCCCCTTTTCGACTCCCTCTCCCACTTCCCGCTCCCCCAGTCAGCCTGGCCCTGCTGGCGCCTCCGGCGCTAAGGGCTGGTCAAGATGGCGGCCTTCGGGATCTTGAGCTACGAACACCGGCCCCTGAAGCGGCCGCGACTGGGGCCTCCCGATGTTTACCCTCAAGACCCCAAACAGAAGGAGGTGCGTTCGATAATCGGGGCTCTGGAGGGGCCGGGGGCACGCGATCAGCCTAGGAGGAGGCATTGACGACTGGGAAGGGGGGGCGGGGCGGTTCGGTGGGATCCAAAGTCCCTAAAGGGGGAAGAATAAAGTGGGCTGGCGTGGGAGGGCAGGACAGGGGGCGATGGGGGGGTTCCAAGGTATGAATAGGGGGTGGTGTAGGGGCCGCACCAGAGGCACCCTCCTTCACACACACCTCAGAAAGTTATCTGAGGCAGCTTGGTGGGGTACGGCTGCTCGCAAGAAAAGAGT